ACGAGGTCTGTGTGTGTGTGTGTGTGTGTGTGTATAACGAGGTTGTGTGTCTGTGTGTAACGAGGTTGTGTGTGTGTGTGTATAACGAGGTTGTGTGTGTGTGTGTATAACGAGGTTGTGTGTGTGTGTGTAACGAGGTTGTGTGTGTGTGTGTATAACGAGGTTTGTGTGTGTGTGTGTGTGTGTGTGTAACGAGGTTGTGTGTGTGTGTGTGTAACGAGGTTGTGTGTGTGTGTGTGTGTGTGTGTGTGTGTGTGTGTGTGTGTGTGTGTGTGTGTGTGTGTGTGTGTGTCTGTGTGTAACGAGGTTGTGTGTGTGTCAGGAGATCGAGCGTCTGAAGAACGAGAAGCCAACGTGGGAGCGTCAGACTCGCTGGGCCGGGCTGAGGTCGGTGTTCGGGGGTCAGCCGTCCCTGATGTGGATCAGCCCCTTTGCTGGACTCAGACTGCCGACCTTTCTCCCCAAACGCAGCTGGAGGGGCGGGGCAGAGTTCTCCGTCTGACGAGCCGCCATTCAAACACTGCACAGCGGTGGAACCGGAACCACAGTGGTTCTGCTTCATGGTGCTGGTGGACCTGCAGAGTCCAGTTCTTCTGTACCTGGAGAAACCAGGTTCAGGCTCTGCTGCAGTCTCCGTCTCTTACCTTCCTCTTTGGTGGAGGAGCATCGTCCCAACTGGGAGTACATACAGACCTTCTTCACAGCAGCCATTTGACATTAAACAGTAGGGTAAATAAAGGTGTTGTGATTCTGATTACGGCTCCATTCGGGTCGAACTGCGTCAGGGTGCTGCTTTTGTTCATGCTGCCTCACTGGAAGGGCTCTGCAACACTAAATGGAACGGGGCCTTAATTAGTATCATGGGTAACGGCTGTGTTTACCCTACTATTTCATGTCCAAATGGCTGCTGTGAAAAGGGGCTGCGTCTGGAGAGAGACGCTGCTGGAGAACCAGTGAACAGATTCAAACTCAGAGCCTGAATGTTTTCTTAAACGTGCTCGTTAAGATGCTGGATCTTCTGAGAGCCGTTACTGAGCGCAGGAACCATGTGACCACCGATCAAATGTTTGGGAACCACTGCTGTTATTAATGTTTGTGTGTATGTAGACGTTGAGCTGCACTGTGTGCATCAACATAAAGCTGTAAAGTCACAATCAAATGAAATATTATACAGTTATTATTATTATTATTATGATGATGATGATGCATCTTCGTTTCTGTTGGTTTTTAATGACATATATTTAAATGGTCCCTGTGGAGTTTTCTTGTAATCAGTCATAAGTTTTCTCTGCCTGTGTATTTTAAATCATTTTCATCGTCCTTTGTTGCCACATTGTTGTGTTTCTTACCCATTGATGAGTGGAAAACATTGGCAGGACGACGTCACCCATTAGAAACACACTATAGCACTCCTAGTGGTGAGAAATTCTACAGGAAACTTTTAAGAAATCATGTTATTAAAATAAAAGTGTGCTAAAAAAAAACTCACTTTCTTCCTTACAAGCAGTATTTTTAATGGTGGCTTCAAAGCTCCCATCAATAAATCAGACAGATGTTTTAAATCCATGCAGCTTTACCTCACCTCTTTAAATCATATTAAGGCTTAAAGTTATGTATAATTATGGGCCTGGTTGCTGTGAGTGACAGTTGGTTGCTGTCGGAGGCGGCTGTTTTCAGTAACCAGGCTGCAGACATTGTTAATTAAACGTTTCAATCCCAAAATCTTTCTTTTATCCTTAAAAAGGTCATGTTGTTTTTTTTCCTTTGGATGTTGGATATACAACTTTTTTGTATCGTCATCCTGAACCCTTTGTTTTTATTTGTTCATGTGAGCCCTCTTAGTGAGCCAAGAGGGTGACGGTGGTAAGATTTTATTTAGCTACCATCGCTATATGCCACTAAATCCTGGTCCTTTAAATCCCCAAACGTTCCACTGAACAACAAATCTGCTCCTCTGAACGGGTCTTTCCTGAGGCCTGATGCTCTAAAAGTACCATTTCTTTGTGACTTTCACTGTTTGGAAAATGTGAACCTAGCTGTTAAATGTGTGTGCAGTGCCATTGAACCACGTATGGAGCATCACTAAGCTCTTGTTTGACATTGCTGGAGAACAGGAAACACCCCAGGACGATCACAATGACCATCAGACTGACGGTTTATCTTCACTAGGTCTCAACAAGATGCTGAAGTGTTTCTACTGCTTGTTTATTGATTGACAAACTCCTCTTGAAGTCCTGCAGACTTTTTATCTTCTAAAATGTTATTATAATTTTTTTAATTGGCACTTTAAAAGGTCTAAATTTAAACCCGATGAGACGTAAAGACGAGCTGGCAAAAGTTTTAAAAAGAGAAACTGAGAGAATCTGTTTTTACAGAATGTGCCCGAGGTTGGAGTGGTTGTATGTTTGTTTTCATGAGATTTCCGAGCCTTTTATATGTTCATCTGTTTCCATTTTTCAGACACTTAGAATAAACAGTCCATCTCTACCTCTTTAAAGAACCTCAGCTTCTGTTTTTATTTAGTTTAAACTCTTTTGTCGTAGTCAGTTTGATCGGACGGTCACTGCCTAGACCAAGACGTCTCGATAAATAAACTGACCAGTTAGATTTACTTTAGATATTCCTGCTCCTCCGTTTTGAGGTTTGTCGCTTTGGTCCAGACTAAAATATCTCAACAACCTTTGGAAGGCTTCCCATGAAATTTTGTTCAGACGTTAATGTTGGATCCAACTCAATTTGAAGGGTCCTTCAAAATCAATATTGATGGATTTGATTTGGTCCAATAGGAGAGGAAAAAATGAATGCTTCTATAGTATTGAGAGAGTTAAATGAATCATATTGTTGCTGTTGATTAACAGCTTATCCAGCTGTTAGCCAGATGAAGTGGAACAAAAAATACAATATGTACCTCTTAGATGTGGTGGTGGACAATCAAAAAAATTCTAGAAACAAATCTTCTAGTAAAGTATGTCAACCTGATTGTTGTACTTTTGTACTTTAGAACATAAAGCCCAGCTGAGGCCACAGGTGAGGATGTTTTTTGGACCCTTTGCAATCAGCCCCATTTAGGAGTCGATGATGCTGTCATCTACCTGCTGCAACGAGCCCGTATGCATCTGGATGGTGGGGGAGGCACTGTGAGGATCACATTCTTTGATTTCTCCAGTGCTTTCAACAACATTCAGCCTCTGCTAATGGGTGAGAAGCTGCGGGTGGTGGGTGTTGACGACACTATGATCTCCTGGATTACTGACTACTTGACAGGCAGGTCACAGTTTGTCCGTCTGGGCAGTGTCCTGTCTGACGTGGTGGTCACTGATATAGGAGCTCCACAGGGAACTGTGCTTTCTCCCTTCCTCTTCACCTTATACACCACTGACTTTCAGTACAACTCTGAGTCATGTCACCTGCAGAAGTTTTCTGACGACTCAGCTGTTGTCGGGTGTATAAGGGAGGGAGATGACGGTGAGTACAGGACACTGGTAGACAACTTTGTAGAGTGGTCCGAACAGAATCACCTAAGGCTGAATGTCAACAAGACCAGAGAGATGGTGATCGACTTCGGTAGGAAGAAGAGGATGCCTTCACAGCCATTACGGATCAGGGGGGAGGTGGTGGAGGAGGTGGAGGAATACTAATACTTGGGAGTGGTGATCGACAACAGACTGGACTGGGAATCTAACACCAAGGCTGTGTACAAGAAGGGGATGAGCAGACTCTATTTCCTGAGGAAGCTGAGATCCTTCAACGTGTGCAGCAAGATGTTGGAGATCTTTTACCAGTCGGTTGTTGCCAGCGCCATTTTCTTTGCTGCTGTGTGTTGGGGCAGCAGCATCAGAGCCAGCGACACCAACAGACTTGATAAAATCATCAAGAAGGCTGGCTCTGTACTTGGTCTCAGGCTGGAGTCTTTTGAGTCTGTGGTGGAGAGGAGAACGCCTAATAAACTGTTATCCATCATAGACAATGATCAGCACCCTCTCCATCACACAGTGGTCAGACAGCGGAGCACCTTCTCTCAAAGGCTGCTCCAGCTCAGCTGTCGAAGGGACAGATACAGGAAATCTTTCCTGCCACATGCCATCACACTGTACAATAACAGCTAAAACTCTGTTCATAACAATACAGTCTCCAAGCACCTTATATGTTTTTACATAATCTGTTCACTGCACCTTATATTTTTACTTTGCACTACAATTATACTGCTTATTTATACAATTTATACATTTTTTATATTGCATTTTATATTGCTTTTTTTGCTATGTCTAGGTTGTTCTCTTTACTTGTGTTGTCACTGTGTTTGTGGTGTTACTGTGTGTAATGCTGCTGCTACACTGCAATTTCCCAGCTTGGGATCAATAAAGTATATCTATCTATCTATCTATCTATCTACGTCATCAGAAACACTATCAGCTGTGTTCAGCTTTAATATCAATCAAAACCAAAATAAATTTATCATACACAATAAACTCTTTATTTTGATTTTGTTTATTTAAACAGAAAAAGAGACTTTACTCGTTTATGAAAAGGATCTTCAGTAATTCGTGCCAGGATGCAACAGTTCTTATACAATGATCAGACAATATAAAGGTTTTAATTTGGAAACCAGACATTGCTTCTTATTTCTGAGCACATTGTCTTCCAATGATTTAACTAGCTAGCCAATGCAGTTATTACAATAAATTAGATGATATATAATAATGATATCAATCAGTGGAGTAATACTGGTGTATTGTAGCAGTAAGTAGTATTCACTCTACATCATCAATAAATGTACATTTATTACATTAAATGATGTGAATCTTTCTGTAGAAAATTAAATGGTTGTTTTACTCAGTGTGATTGACAGGAGAGATTATCAGAGGGGCAGAGTTTTTACCACCATAATTAAAACTGGGACTAAAGTATGGGTAGAGTTTCTCAGTGAAGGAGCAGCCAGTAAAGGAGTAGATAAGAGCTGCAGCATCAACGTCATAAAAGGAGACCAGACCCTCCTCATAATGCACAAACACCCCCACCTTCTCAGGCTGAGACTTCAGAGAGAGACAGACTGGAGGGCCAGCAGAAGCTTTGTACTCATTTTCATTCCTTAACCATATCGTCCAGTAACCATTCTGAGGTCTCAGTGTGATTACTCCCTTCCTTTTGATCGACTCTCTGGCCACTCCTAAACCCCAGTCAGTCTTCCCTTTAACCTGAACCTCGTAATAAAATCTTCCTGAAGAGAAACTCTGCTTTGCTAAGACACCGGGACAAGTATCAAATCTCTCTTGATTGTCTGGGAGATTCTTCTTTACATCAACATGTTTAACTTGTTTTCCATCATCAGACAGGATGAGTTTGGGTTGTGCTGTACCAGGATCGAGTGTCACATCCAATGCATACTGCTGGACTCTCTTCAGCGTGGCCTCAAACAGCTTCTTCATCTGTTTACTGAGCGTCTCCTCCACCTGATTCACAGCTCTTACCACAGTCCCCTCATACAAAAGTGGACTGAAACTGATTTCTGTCCAGTCCTTGGTGGGTGGAGCAGTGTTCAAGTATGAGAAGCTTTGGAGGAGGTGCAGGTGGTCTTCAGACTGTGAGAGCTGCTCCACCTCAGAGCTTCTCTTCTTCAGCTCAGAGATTTCCTGTTCCAGCTCTTTGATGAAGTCTTCAGCCTGTTTCTCTGTCTTTCTCTTCTTCTCTTTGATCGTGTCGATGAGCTCGGCCTGGCTTCTCTCAATAGACTCCTTCAGAGCGGTGAAGACCTGAATACCATCTGCTATTTCTCTGTCTGCACCTTCCTTACTGAGCTCCACTGAGCATTTGATCTCCTGAATCTTCAGTCGTCTCTTCTGGATCATCTGCTGAATTTCAGCCTCTGTCTTCCCCAGCTCAGCCTTCTTTCCTTCATATTCTTCTTTCAGAAGAACAACATCATGTGTCTTGTGGTCTGAATAGGTGCAGAGCATGCAGACACACATCTGGTCGGTCTTACAGAACAGCTCCAGCAATTTATTGTGCTCTGTACACATCCTGTCTTCCAGGTTCTCCACAGCATCGATCAGCTGATGGTTTTTCAGACGTGAAGCTGTCAGATGAGGCTCCAGGTGAGTCTCACAGTAGGAGACCAGACACACCAGGCAGGACTTCAGGGCCTTCGGTTTGGTTCCAGTGCAGACATCACAGGGAACTTCTCCTGGTTTGGAAACTTGTTGCTCTGAGCTGCTGCTGCTGGCTTTCTGTTGAGCTGACTGTCTGAACTGAGCAGCCATCTCAGAGATGAAAGTATTGACCTTCAGCTCAGGTCTTGTGTAGAAAACCTTGTTACAGTTGGGACACTGACACTGGACATTAATATTCCAGTGTTCAGTGATGCAGGTTTTACAGAAGTTGTGTCCACATGGTATGGTGACTGGATCAGTGAACACATCCAGACAGATGGAGCACAGAAACTGATCTTCAGTCAGCAGACAGCTGGCAGCAGACATATCTACACTGTGAGGATGAAAGTGAAAAGGATAATTGCAAAATCTTTGATTAGTCATAAAAAATGTCAAGATAGGTTTACTGAAATATCAGGAAGTCATTCTTAAGCATTTAGTTAGTTTGTACTTAAGCAAAATTTCCATTTGAAAGCACAAAATAAAAACAGTGGAACATCCTGTCTGAGTAAATCTTAAGTTTTGTGTTCATGTTGTTTGAGATGAAAAAAACACAATAAATATGATCAGCTGTACTCACCAGTGTTTGGCAGACACTGTGCTGTGTTGGTGAGAAAGGCCTGATCAAGTGAACTTTTTCTTTCGAGAGAAAGAAATAGATTTGTCTTGACTGCAGGTTCACCTTTACTCAGATTAATGTTTTGTTTCATTTGAAGAATGTGGAATTAAAACTGTTGTGCTTCCAGTATTGCTCCGCCTCTTTCTGCTCCACAGGTGAGGCTTTGTTGCCTTTCAGGTTTGACCAGATTGGCTGCAAAGGCTGCAGTATTGAATATTAAACTCCTGCCTGTCTGCCTGCATACAATTAACTAAAACAAAGTAGTTTTAAATTACAAGATTACACAATAGTGATATAAGTTTATTTTGTGTTTAATGTAAAATGTGAATCTGCAAAGTAACCAGCAAATCCAGCTGTTAGACAGAAGTAGTGTAGTAGAAAGTACAAGCATACCTCTGTAAGAACTCCAGAGTAGCAGCAAGTTCCACTGGGTAGGCAATGTTGTGCAGGTAATATGAGCAGAACATCATCTGTAACACTTTGGTGAAGCAGGAAGGCTGCTCGTTGACTAAGACTTGGTCCACTGCAACCATGAACATCTTGGCAGTAAGTGGGCTGTTACCTGTGAACAGTGCAAGAACAATATGTTCCATAGTAAGTGAATAGTTTGCTTAATGTATATGGATCCAATGAGGTTAAGTAAGCCAGGAGCTGTGTTCTGCACACTGCTTAGTTGACTTCATTCTTGAATAGCCCATATTGTGTTTATACTGCAAAAGAAAAACTGTGCCAAGT